TGTCCTACCTACACACTAGCCGTCCTACAGCCGTCAAGCCGTCCTACAGCCGTCCTACCTTGTCCTACCTACACACTAGGACGGCTACCTTGTCCTCTACAGCCGTCCTACCTTGTCCTACCTACACACTAGGACGGCTACCTTGTCCTACCTACACATTTGTATCATGTATATATATCCTTGTAATCTTGTAGAGAAACAATAATGAAAAAATAAGCATTCTCTTCCATTTGCATTCTCTTCCATTTTTCCACATTCACGTATCAATAACAAATATATTTTTTAGCCTACATACCTTTTTCTACAATATGAGATATTGGAGCATGCCTTCCGCTTGGGCTGAACTATGGGTTCGCAACAAATTTTAATCAAGGATCGTGGATGGGCAATTTTTTATATGTCATGAGGCTAAATTTAGTATGATTCTTATAATATTTTTTACTTTTTTTTTTTTGTCATCTGGAAATCGTTTTTATCAAATTTAGACTAAATGTGGCATTTAGGCCTTAACTGAAGATGACATTAGTTTTTATAAGACAAGTTGACGATACTAATCATACTCATACTCATACTCAAAGATATTGTTCCATGGTTTTTTTAATTTTTTATAAGGAACACCACATTAAATATTGTTTCATATGTTAACGTATTTTCTCACTTCTAATCCTACTATTTTAAGAAAGATTGGAATTGGTAAGTTTTCTTTTTCAGGATTCATTCTCATACTCCTAAGTTCGTAACAAAATTTTCCTTTCTCCTTTTAACATATGTTTTTTTTATAATACAACAATATATTTTACACTAAAGCGATGAAAGAGTTCGGCTAAGTAACACAATGGGCAATCTAATTTGGTATCGAATTAGCCATCTACGAAATTTGAACCTAAGAGACCTCTCAATTACAAGTGAAGAGGAATACCACTAAATCATTGAGTGGCTCTTTTTAACATACGTTAAATTATCGTTTTATCCATTTCAAATGAGATCCTTTGTTAAAATGAGGCCAAGAGTTATATTTCATAAAAACCAAAGTTTGACAACATCGGGGTGGTGGCGCAGTTGGCTAGCGCGTAGGTCTCATAGCTTCTGAGTGATCCTGAGGTCGAGAGTTCGAGCCTCTCTCACCCCAAATTATTTTTATGCTTTCAGTTATTCTAGTTGGGCCTAGACCCGGTCCAACTCTGGGCTCCACACTCAATTAGAAAATCTTTCGGGTCGGCCCAAAGTCTCCAGCAACTCCACTGCGACCCAAATTAGATAAACCCTAAACCGCACCAGGGCTCCGTCTTCTTTCACTTTCCGCCTAAACCCTAAACCGATTCAGGGCCTCGCTCTCTCTCTCTCTCTCTCCTCTCCTTTCTCTCTCTACACCCTCTATATTTCATTTGAAGGACACCCAACGATGGTGAAGAAAAGCAAAAGTAAGCCTCTTAATTTCACTACAAATCTCTCATTTTTGTTAAATTTTGTATTTTTTTTTTTTTTGGATTAATCGGAATTTGAATAGAGTAAGCCGCAATTTTATTATTTTTGTTAATTTTTTTGATAAATTTGTTTTCTGGAATTAATTGGAATTGGATTAATGGGTTGCAGAGAGCAAGAGTAAGAGAGTGACGTTGAGGAAGAAGTACAAGGTGATAAGGAAGGTGAAGGAGCACCACAAAAAGAAGGCCAAGGACGCCAAGAAGCTCGGCTTCAAGAACAAGAAGGTCGAGAAGGACCCGGGTATTCCTAATGACTGGCCCTTCAAGGAGCAGGAGCTCAAGGCTCTCGAAGTCCGTCGGGCTAAATATATCGAAGAAGAAGAGCAAAAGAAGGCTGCCCGCAAAGAAAGGGTACGGCTTTAGTTTATTTGTCAAGCGTTACCCATGTTTTCTGTTTTTGTGATTGATTGTTGTTTGAATTATTTTGAGTTATGATTTACGAATTAGAGTTTCTCGAGTTTTTGAGCAGTTGGATGTGAAATATAGTTTCTCCCTGTTACTGATGCAATTGACATTCAGCTTGGCATTTGAATTTGGGTTTAAAGTTTATAGCATATGATGCAATGATTGCTGAGAATCAATGAGTATACTTTTTCGATAAAGTACCCTTGTTTGTGCATTTGAAGTTTCGATGTTCGAGTTCTGATATAGATGCTGCAATGATGCAATGATTTAGATGCAATCACTTCCGTGAGTTTAGTGCACACTTTTAGCCGTATCTTATTGGTAAGAAAACTCTTTATTCTGATTCAGGCTAAGAAGAGGAAGATGGGGATTTTAGAGGATGAAGATGTCCCCAGTTCAGAGGAAGTGGCAGAAGAAAAGAGTATTGATGATTCCACTGGATTCGGGAAGAATAGGGGTATTTTGTTACTTGGTGTTTTATAGAATGTGTTATTGTGGATGGTTCAGCTTGAATATCACCTAGCTTTTCTATCCTTAATTGTTCTTAAAACGATTTTCTCTCTGTACAGATAGCTCAGATAGGGCTTTCTACAAGGAGTTGGTTAAAGTTATTGAAGCCTCAGATGTCATTTTGGAAGTCCTTGATGCTCGAGATCCCCTGGGTACTCGATGTATTGATATGGAAAAGATGGTGATGAAATCGGGCCCTAACAAGCATCTCGTCTTACTTCTGAACAAAATTGGTAATACATTTCATGCTCTCCAGTATCTTAAAACATTGATATGCACTTTCATTTATTTTCTTGTTTCTAAACGTTAACCTTTAATATCTGTGATGGTTCTTGGATCTCAGATCTTGTCCCGCGAGAAGCTGCTGAGAAATGGCTGACTTATCTTAGGGAAGAGTTACCAGCTGTTGCCTTTAAGTGCAACACCCAAGAGCAAAGGTCAAACTTAGGGTGGAAATCATCTTCAAAGAAATCAAAACCAAGCAGCCTTCTCCAGACAAGCGACTGCCTGGGAGCTGAAACTCTTCTAAAATTGTTGAAGAACTATTCCAGAAGTCATGAGGTACTTGTATCATCTGTTTTAGGAAGCAATGCCATAATGTCACACACACAGAGGCATATTTTATTTATCCCTCTAAAATTAGGGTTTTCATTGCTGGAATATGAGTAAGTTTGAATAATTTCATCACTTTCCGGTGTAAATGTGAGCTTTTGGCTTTCACAGATCAAGAAATCAATTACTGTGGGTGTTATCGGCCTTCCTAATGTTGGAAAGAGTAGTCTGATTAATAGTTTGAAGAGAAGCCGTGTTGTCAATGTTGGTTCTACTCCGGGATTAACAAGATCACTGCAAGAAGTTCAGTTGGATAATAATGTCAAATTGCTGGACTGCCCTGGTGTTGTAATGCTTAGATCTAAAGAGAGTGATGCCTCTATAGCACTTCGAAACTGCAAAAGAATTGAGAAATTAGAGGATCCAATTGCTCCAGGTATGAACCCATTCTCTGATTCCTCATTTAACCCTCGTAATCTGCTTGACTACCCTAATCATGCATTGGTCTAACATGGAATGATTAGTTGGTCCTAGTGTATATGAAACTTACTTGTATTGCAATCCTTCTTGAATTTAGTTGAGATTTACTCACTTTACCCTTTGTTGAACAGTAAAGGAAATTTTGAAGCTTTGCCCAGAAAGACTTTTGGTGACTCTATACAAGCTCCCAAGTTTCGATTCGGTTGATGACTTTCTGCATAAGGTGGCTACAGTTAGGGGTAAGCTAAAAAAGGGTGGTGTTGTTGATATTGGTGCTGCCGCAAGAATTGTGCTGCACGACTGGAACGAGGGTACGCATTGACCTTTTTTCATTCGACAAGAACTCTGAAATTTTTTTTTGTAAAGAAGGTAAATGCTGAAAAAGTTGATAATTGATGCTAAACGTTCAATGTGTTTCAGGTAAAATTCCGTACTACACTATGCCCCCAGTTAGGAATCAAGATCATCCTTCAGAGGCAAACATTGTTTCGCAGCTGGGTAAGGCGTTTAACATTGATGAAGTATACAATGCAGAATCTTCATTCATCGGAAGCCTCAAGTCTGTTAGTGATTTCCATCCTGTCGAAGTTCCTCCCAGTTGCCCGCTCAATTTTGATGAAGATATTGAACAGGTCTGTGATCTGTGCTAACCATATCACTTATGACTGCTTTTCTGTTATTCAGTTTTTCAGTAGCCAAACTATTGTACATTGAATAGTCTGTGCATGTTGTTTACAGACACGTTCAATAGTCTTCTAGGAAGCCGACTGATTCACATTTGATTTGTAAAATCTAGTGGACAATTATCAAATTCTGAATGTAGTTTGATTTTTCATTATCACGCACCAGGTTGATAGGGCAGAAGGACCATCAAGTCATGGTGATGGAAGTCCTGAAGATATGGTTGACGGTGACGATGACCAGGCCATGGCATGTGAAGAAGATGATGCTGGCAAACCCAAGGAAAAGAAAGCTACTAGAACCATCAGGCAAAATGAGAAATTGTATACGGCTGAAGGTATTCTCAATCCTAAGCTAAATAAAGCAGAGAGGAAGAAAAAGAAAAAGGCCAAGTCAGCTGCTGCCTCAGTCGACGCTATGGACGCTGACGGTGACTATGACTTTAAAGTGGATTACAAGAACAAGGGATCCGCTATGGATGGTCAACTTATAGGAAAGGTTCCGATGTCTGGTACTGGGTTTGATGAACCGGAGGAATAGCCGGGACGGTCAAATATAACTGTAGCATCAAAGGCAGTTGCAGATGCACACCAATTTCAGTCTTGAGCTAGCCTTTTTTTTGTTCCTTTAAAGAGAAATTATTTATGAATACTACTGGTTTTCAGATTTTTGTACGGGCAGTATTTATATCTGCCTAACAATATAAAATCTTGATCACGTATCTGCATATTTAACCTGGATTCGGCTTGCACGCTCTACAAACAACAAAACCTTAACCCACTAAAGATCGTGACTTTCACAGTCACCGTCACTGAAACGAGTTGAATCTGAAATGCGATTGAGATCAAGTCTTACCAAAATCAGATTACAATTTCCCAACGGACGACGTATAAGTAGCTAGCATCAGCATGTGCATTTGCAATCCAAGTTTAAGCCCCTTCTCTAAGGACTACAATAACTTATTATCGAAGTTATAACGAGTGATCTACACCAGATTAAAAACCAACTGTATTGGCTGGAAGGTGTAAGATATGCTAATACAGGAAGATGGATCTCAATCATCAATCGTCACCCAGATCTTGTTCGTCCTTAGTTGTTGAGGGAGCTGGTTCAGACAATGAGGATTGATTCACAGGAGTGACCACAGTCGTGGTGGTTGTCGAAGATACTGCTGTAACGCCGTTGGTGGTTGTGACTGGTGTTATGGATTCTGTAGTTGATGTCACAATTCCTTGTGCCTCCACGGCCTCGCGTGCTGCTTTCTCTTTGGCCTTTTTGGCTCTTTCCAGTACATCTTCCTGTGTATAATTGATAAATTAGCACAGCGACTAATATCCATTATGCTCAATGCAGACTATGTAGTTGTTTTGATTCAATCCCTCACATCACTAGCAATATACAGTTCAACCCAAATCGAGAACCAGCAAGAGAACTTTGTACCGTCCCACGCTATTCACTATAATATGGTGTTGTCTGTGCACAATGATCTGCCTTAAACTGAAGTGATTAGAAATTATCTAAAACAAATTTCAATTTTAGCTTCAATCCATGAATTCTGGAAATGTTGACAGCAAATTTGTAAAGCAGAAAGTTCACAAGGAGGAAGAATTCATCAATGAACTGAACCCTAATAATGCTAACAACTTGAAGTGCTCACCTGAAACTCCTCTACAAGCTTCTGCTGCTCAGCTTGCAGCCTACCAATCGTGCTCAAAAACTCGCCTACGCCCGACTCAATGCGGTCGTTTATAGCTTCAGCTAGAGCTTTCCCCAAGAAAAAGGCATCCAGAACACTCCTGCTATCGCCCTCACCTGCAACATTCAGTTCCTCAAATCTTTGCAAATTCCAATCCAAAATTTACATTTATCCGAAAGAAAGAAAAAAAAAAAAAAAAAAAAAAAAAAACTGAGATTTCTGGAGAAGGGTACCCAAAGGTTTGTTCTTTCTTAAATTTAGATAAAAACCCAATTCATACAAATCAACAATTTCCACATCAAGATTCATTCAACAAACACCAAGGAATTTACAAATTGAAGACACAGAGGTAAGAACAATACCAAATCCGGGCCCACCAGGATTTGCACTGCAGTCCAATCGGCTTCTCTGAGACCCAATTCTTCCATAAAGTCCAACGCTTTTAAGCTTCAAATCTGTATGAACACTTGCAGAGCTTGAAGACGACGCAGAGAAAAAGCTGCTGCTTCTGGGTTTAGAAAGCAGGGAAGAAAGTGCTTGTGGGGAAGCAGAAGCAGATGTTAAAACCCCACTAATCATTTTTTCACTTCAGATTCTCAGAATCTGTCACTTACTCGGTGTTTCTCGCCTTTTCTTGTCGGCTCAACAGAACAAAAATCTTCAGGGTTTGCCGTCTACAGCTGGGTTCGGGTCGGGTTTTTTGTTTGTGTTAATGACGTGGGCCTAAACTTACACACACGTATTTCCAATGCTCCGGTCCACCCGAACCATGCGTGGTCCATATAAACAAGTGCAGTCTATGCTAAATTAGTGCACCTTGTCCCACACATCTTGCTATCAAAACTTAAGATCTTGAATTTCATGGTGATTTGATTTGACAACACTACAAGCTCAAGGTCATCTGTTTGTGGGATATTTTTGTGTTATAGTATTTGTATGAGAGTTTTGCTATGGTAAGTCGTGCTTTCACATTTTTTGATTGAAAAGATGTATATATCAACGGTTTGTAAGTGCACGAATTGAGATTGAAAGTTAGGTTTTGCCAATCTGGTTGTAACATAACATAATTTGTCACCTGGACCGTTGATGTGTATCGCACAAAAAAATCCACTTGAAAAACTTATTCCTTGTAGAATTCTCATTGTGTTTTGGAGAAGTGTAAGCATATAATCAATTGATATCGTTTGACATTTTACTCAATAACGTTATAAGATAAGTGATTCTATTACTCTATCGACAACCCAATTTCTCTTGCCACCTATATTTCACTTTTCAGTTTCTTTGGACACTCTAATATCTTTGGAAATAAACCAAACCCAACTTTTGAAAAAAACTATGATTTCCTTTTGCAGGCTATACGTTTTTTTGAATACAACGTTATATTTAAACCAAGATGTAAGGAATTTAGAGAAAAACATAAGTTGATTCTAAATGAGTTCAAACAAAGAGTCAGAACAAAACCAATCTATTCATCTTCAATCACTTTTCTTATGAGCAAGTAACAAATATTATAATACGTTAAGGGAACTGTTACTGGTACTCCAAAAATCTCATTCTACACTCTTTACGAGTGTATTTTTCTTTCTAATTATAAAAAATTTGAAGTGTCAAATGAGATTTTTGGAGTGATAATGACAATTCTCTATGTTAATAAGAGCATGATGGCATTTGTTATGTGACGATTGATTATCAAATTTGACTGTCTCAACATTTGCTTGCATTTGATGATCGGTTGTATGAAAGAAAAATTACAATTCAACACGTTTTTAAACCTTTCCCATCCTTTTTCTTAGTACACGGTTATTTTCGTTTAATTTATTTATTCTGATGACGAGAATTAAAGAAGAAAGTTTTTAAAAAGAGTGTTTTAAAAAAATACTCCCGATACTAAATAATATTCACTACACATTTATTTGTCATTTTTTTATTAAAAAACTAAAATTTTTTTTGAACTTTTTGTAAGTTTTCGTATTTAAAAATCACCTCCCTAATTTAATTGAGTTGGCTTGGCCCTCACTCAATCATAGTCAAAACCCCAGACTTCCCCGTGGATGGTAGTCAAAACCCTAAACCTCCGATTGCTAGTACAATCCAGACCGGAAACCCTAAATTGCCAAATTCTATAGAACCAGTGGCCATGGAAGGCGCAATGCTTGCTCGGCGGAACAACCGGAAGAGAAAGAGAGCGAAGAAACTGTCGGAATCGACTGGTACGATTGAAGAATCAGAGCCTCAAAACCGTAAGGAGGACCAAGAAGAAGAAGACAAAGGGGAAGATGAGAAGACGAAGAGAATGAAGGTAGAGGAAACAGCGGGAAAAGAGGAAAACGAAGGCGTAGAAGCAGCGAAGGAGGAGAAGAAGACGAAGGTTAAGAGAGGTGGAGGGTCTGGGATTATGACCACAGAGTCTTTTGGATCACTGAATTTGTCTTCCAACACTTTTAAGGCCGTTCAAGATATGAAATTTCAGCACATGACTCAGGTAAAAAGTTAAATTCTGGGGTCGAATTCAATGATTTTATTAGCTCCTGATTCATTCATGGATTGACATTGCCATGCTTCTAATATAAAGGCTTTTTTGGGGTAGAATTTGTGTAACTTAGTGTATATTTTTCGGGCGAAATTGGCTTAACGCAATTTACAAGTAAATTCAACTGCTGCAGATTCAAGCCAGAACAATCCCACCACTATTGATCGGAAAAGATATACTGGGAGCTGCAAGGACAGGATCTGGGAAAACTCTTGCTTTTCTAGTACCAGCTGTGGAGTTGCTATATCACACAAAGTTTACTCCTCGTAATGGAACTGCTGTTGTTGTCATTTGCCCTACACGGGAACTTGCGATTCAGGTGAAACAAACCCTGGTACATTCCTTCTTTGTTATTGGTTTGATATGTTACAGGGGTCGGTCTTATTTCACTGGCTCCAATTGAAGATCATTTTTTTATGCCTGTTACATATCTAGGTTGAACATAAAGGCCTGCCTGTATTTGAGTGATAATGCCATTCTGCAGAGCAGTTTTGTAAAATTGGCTTGTTAATGGAGTTCCTCTATATTAGTGGGCTGAAATATGGCTTGGTATTCATATTTGCATGATATGAAAGTTAACATGCTCAATAATTTAAGAAATTCACTTCTTAGAAAGAAGTTTGAAAACGGAAATGTTTATGTAAAATTTTATGCTTCACAAAACCAAAGAAATTGTGCTTTATTAGTCGATGTGCTGTCGCATTATGAGGTTTACAATAAATCATCTTGATTCTTCCCTGAATATTTTCCTCTCAATAATTCAGACCCACGCTGTGGCAGAGCACGTCCTCAAGTATCACTCACAGACTGTCGACTTGGTTATTGGTGGTGCAAATCGGAGAAGAGAAGCAGAAAGTCTTGTAAAAGGAGTAAATCTATTGGTTGCAACCCCTGGCCGACTTCTTGACCATCTCCAGAATACCAAGGGATTTCTATATAAGAACTTGAAGGTTCCTCACATCTCTTCTATGGAAATATTGTTGTAGTCTATCAAAATTATTTGTATCTGGTTATTTTGTATAGTGGGGCTAATTTCTACCGATGGATTTCTCATTGAAAGATGATTCTACGCACTATTTTCTTAACTCTGTAATATTCTGCAACGGTTAATAATCCCGTTACTGAAATTTCTGACCCTTTTCTCAATTTTGGTTGTTGTGATAGATATAAAATTTAGCCTCTTGGTCTGGTTGGACTAAACATGTTTTATCGAGATGTAAGTTTGTATCCCGACATCATAGCAATTGACCATCCTTGGTTTCGTTGTTCTATTGGACTTGCAGTGCCTCGTCATTGATGAAGCTGACAGGATTTTGGAAGATAACTTTGAAGAAGAAATGCGACAGATTATTAAACAACTACCCCAGGTCACTATTTGATTCCGCATTCTAACTTGTGTTACAAATACTCAAGGCTGAACAATAGATGCATCCAGCTCGCAACATATTCTTATTTTCTTTTATTAGATGAATATCAGAATGTGGTGTAGTGTGTATGATTATATTCAGCATTCAGCCTCAACGCGTTATTTTTGTTGTTTTAGTTGCAATTCAAAATGGATTTTACGTGGTTATTCCCTTGATTTATTCAGTTGCTATTGGATGTGCAGGAAAGGCAGACAGCTTTATTTTCAGCCACCCAAACGAAGAAGGTTTGTGCGTTATATTCATGTCCTTATCTTATAATAGTCAATCTCTTGCTTTCTGCATTATGTTTATCTCTTTTAGCATGAATTAATAGGCTGCACATTGTTCAGTTGTTCATTTACTTTTCTTGCATCGAGTTTACTTGTGTGTGTGTGTGCCCATATGCTACATGAATTGCCTTGTTCTGATAATACTTTTCCCGTTAAACCTGTAGGTTGAAGATCTTGCTAGATTGTCACTGAAAGATCCTATTTTGATTGATGTGGATGAAGGGAGGACTAAGGTAGGAATCCAGATGGTTTCATGTATTCTTTTAGTAATTTTCTTGTGTTAATATCTGTCATGCATTTAAATCTACTTATATGTATTTAATACTTTCTTTGTTTATTTTGCTATAGCTCTAAATCTCTAAAGTCTAACAAGATTATGTGCACTGTAGGTCACTAATGAAGGGCTAAAACAAGGCTATGTTATTGTGCCCAGCGATAAGAGATTTATTCTCCTATATACTTTTCTGAAGACCACTCGTTCTAACAAAGTGATGGTCTTCTTCTCTTCTTGTAACTCAGTTAAATTCCACTCTGAACTTCTTAAATACATTAATGTGGAGTGCTTTGATATCCATGGAAAGCAAAAGCAACAGAAGAGGACAAAAACTTTCTTCGACTTCTGCAAAGCAGAGAAAGGAATCTTACTTTGTACTGATGTTGCTGCTCGTGGGCTGGATATTCCTGCCGTGGTATGTTTCCTTCAATTGTTATGCTATGCCAATAAGATTCTGTTCTATCACATTACCAATACTGCAACAAACAGTTGTTCACGGTAAATCTTATTCTTCTTTTTTCGTTTGCTTGTAGGACTTGATTGTGCAGTTTGATCCTCCGGATGATCCCAAGGTGCCCAAATTTTCTCTACTAATGTATTTTAATTAATTTTTGTATCGAGTAATTTTTCTTTATCCATTATTAATTCAGGATAAGAATCCAATTTCCAATTGGAGTTGATTTCCCAATGAACCACGGTTTAATATACTTGGTTATCAGGTTCTAGGACTAGATTTTGTAATATGCCTTTCTCGTGGCTTTTTAAAGAGCTTTGCTGGTTTACAAGCATAAGTAAGCAAAGAGAGAATTCAGACTTCCACTCTTAAGATGGTGAATGGGAATACCATCCAGAGAGAGGAGTGAGAGGAACTCAAGGAGTTAAAGTGACATAATATCGAAGGGCAAAGTGTCTGAAAGATGAGAAAAGATATATGAGTGTTTCCATATTTCTTGTTCTTTATGGCTCATCGAGTCTTAAATCTAGAGGCTTGATAAGATAATTGGTTGTACCCATTATCGATATTGTGAAGATTTGTGTTTGTGCCTTGTGGACATACATAGGCATATAAGCAAACCATGATAGTTCATGTTCTTTGTTTTCTTGCGTATTTTCTTGGGCTTCCTGAGTTCATTTGTTTTTCCCATTCGTAAACGATTTCACAACTATGGGATATCTTTGTGCAGGAATATATCCACCGTGTTGGTCGAACAGCTCGAGGAGAAGGTGGAAAAGGAAAGGCATTCCTTTTCCTCATTCCTGAAGAGATGCAGTTTATTCGCTATTTGATGGTATGATTTAGTCAAGAATAAGAAACAAACGGAAGCAACCAAATCTTAAAATGCCATGCTTTTCAGAAGGGTGTCCGTTTAAAGCAAACTTGATTGAATATATGGCCTTAAGCTTTTATTTAGGTTGCTACGCTTCGGTGCTTGTTATCCATTTCAATTCCTTATGTTATTATGTGTTCAGGATGAAAAAGTCCCCGTTGAAGAACATAAATACAAGGAGAGTATGCTGAAAAATGTGCAGTCGCAACTGGTAATGTTCTGTTGTTCAATCGTAAATCGTAATGTACTACTATACAATAACTGTTTCCAAGGAACCTTATGTGTTGCTTTGTTTGATGCAGGTGGAGATGGTTCAGCGCAACGATTATCTCCGCAAATCAGCAAAAGAGGCATATAAATCTTATCTATTAGCGTATAATTCACACTCTATGAAGGACATCTTTAACGTCCAACGACTTGATATGCAGGTACTCAACTTTTTCTTTCTTGACTGATGTTGCAGAGGAAATTAATATTTATCTTTTCATCTGAATTAATTGGCAAAGAGACCCTAACTGGAATTGGACTGTGTGCAGGCGGTTGCAGCTTCATTTTGCTTTCCGAGTCCCCCCAAGATGAGTCTGAACTTAAACAGCAACGCTTCAAAGTTCAGGAAGAAGATGGGCAAAGTAAGAGGAAGTCGAAACGGATTCAGCATGAGCAGTCCCTATGGAAGGCAAAAAGGTGGAGATGAAATTCGACAATTTGTAAGACATTAGGAGGGTCTTGAGCAAAAAGAAATAATCCACATTAACTTGTGTATCTAAAACTAAACTGGATGTGTTATAAGGTTAGGCCATCTCCAACCGAAAGGGCTAAACATAGCCCTCTCAATAATTATGCCATTTCCAATTGAAGGGTTAATTTAAACTTGAAATTTATCGGTTAATTTAATTAAACATTAGATGTTTTCAATTCTAGCCATTGAATTTGAATTAATTATTACCACTAAGGAGATAGACTCCGAATAAGGGCTAAGTGGAGGGCTACATATGTCAACCTAGTGCCCATTTGGCCAAATAATAGTCTGATGGGCTCCATAAAAATAAAACCCAGTCATCGGTTGAATATGAGTTTTTTGACAAATCAGACTATTTATTTGCTTTGGATATTTAGCCGTCCCCATTGGAGAGGTCCTTATGCTCACTAATAGTGTGTCATAGCTCCTTAATTATAAAATTTATTTTACATTTTTATTATTATTATATATCTCTAATTATGTCTTTAATTTTTCAAAATAAATAAAAATTAAAAAATAAAAAAGATTTGTGGCGAGTGTTTTTATTAGAGCAATTCCAATGTGGAAGGGCTCCCTAGGGCAATTGATAATTGAATTCCCTTCAATGAACAGTAACTACCTTTAATGAATAATAATTACTTTTTGCATCTTCACGTCTACACTGAATTGCATCTCATTATCCGTAATCGGATCATGAGTAATTTCAAACCAGCTAGAACACAGCGCAACATCTTCAATAAGTGTCCAATTCGTACCTGCATCATTAGTCTTTTTTTTGGAAACAAAAGTATATAGAAATTTTGAGAGAAAGATTGGAATGTGGTTGCAAGTATTTGAAAAAACATGAAAGTGTGGTGTAAGGTGGAAGATAATGATAAGGTATTTATAGAAAAATAAAATTAATTTTTTTTTAAATTTTTTTAAAAAAATTTTGGATCATTATTATTTTTATTAACTTAATTAATTTCAATGGTTGAGATCGTGCCACGCCATCTAGCTGTTGGGGGAAGTTTTGATTTTTTTTTACCGTTGGAAATGAACAGTCCAGAAAAATTACCATTGAAATGCAACGGCCAAAAGGGTGCCACGTTGCGCCTAGCAACCTAAGAAGACAGCCGGTCAGTTGCGAACCCCATCGCCTGGTCAATGATGCGTCCCCACGCGCGCTTGCGTTGCATGCACCTTAGCAAATTTTTTTAGAACGTGACTGACGTCATGCTAACGTTAGCCTTGCGTCACCCCCGCTCCAGGCGTTCGGGCCTTGGACCCTCGCATGTCCTCTGCCACGGGCTTCCCCTCAGCCCAATCGTCCGAATGGGCTGGAGCCTCTTCAGCAGGCAATTGGACACCAATTGGTGCTGGTCTCCTTAGATATACTACACGATGGACTTGCTCTTATAGGACTGAGGATTCTCTTCCCTGAATTTTCTCTCCCCTTGAAAAGATTTCCCACGTTGAGGATTTATGTCATGTAAGAAACGAGAATCCTTAAAGCCGAAAACGATGTTGTCTATTACCCAGAAAATAGAATAAAATTCGAAGGCCTTCCATGTCAAATAAGCCATGGCAGTGACTACAATATGTGTTATACACCATTATATCCACCTCTTATGAACAAATATTTCATAATCTAAACTATTGGTTTTCTTAATTATCATTTTAAACTTATGCCTCTAAAAAATTAATCAAATTGAAGATTGTTTAGTCATTTATATGCATGAACCAAAATGATGATGTTGGTACCTAATAAAAATATTTATAATAACTATCTATTTATCAGATAAATATAAATGACTGACGGTTAAGTAATATCTAATACAATAGTTTACGATATTGATCGATATATTTATTTAATAACGACATTCTAAGAAAAGATATTTTAAATATCAGTCCGATCGTATAGAGAGAAATGCACCTACAATCATATATTTCGAGTCTGACTTCTGTAGAAAATTAAGACTTCATTTTTGATACTGTGATCACATTCTCTTATTTGAATGAAATTTAATTTGGAGGAAAGATACTAAATGATGACTACAAATTTAAACAATTTTGATTATTTGTAATGTAAAAATATGTCAATTGCAATGGGTGAATATATTTGATGGGTGTATTCCATGAAGTGGATGCAAATATTATTCATGTGTTAATATTTCGGTTGGTAAGCAACAAGGTTCTAACTTTTTTAATGTCGAAAGTATTATCAATCAATAAACACAAGTGTTAATACCACAATATGAGTGAGAAATATCTTCATCGTGGGTTAGTGTCCTAATTCTCTTGTCATACCTAAAGATTAAAATAAAATTTAAATTGTCACATAATATTACTGTTTAATGATGTTACTTATTTAAATAGGACATCTTATCGAATATCGAAAATCATTGTATCAAAAAAATTGAGTTCAAACATTTATTATAGCTGATACATTACATTGTATAAATTAGTGTAAATTACGTAAGTTTTATTTTTTTATTTTTAAATTTAATGAATGACAATATCTAGATTAAAGAGTACGGAAGTAGGTTAAGCCTTGCAATGTGCTTGCTATAATAATGCGTTTTAACTTTGTTTTTTTGTAAGAATCGAATCTAAAACCTGTCACTTGTAAAGAAAGAAAAATATCACTAAAATGTAGTACTAATTGGCAGTAGTGTTTAAAAAGGCAAAAAAGTCCAAGCATGAGATTTTAAGGCCGGGCCCACCCGTTGGTAAACACTACTAAAGTTTCGACCATCGCATTCGGATTTCGGGCTGTATCTGCTTAGGGTTAGAGCTCCTCTTCTTCTTGTTCCTCTGCGTCCAAGAAACCCTACAGTGCCAAATTCTGTAGAACCAGTCGTCTGCATGAAAGACACAATCCCTTACGCATCTCCCGAGGGCGAGGCGAGAAAGAGGAAGAGAGAGAAGAAGAAAACATCGGAACTGGCTGCTCGAAACCCTAAGAAGACCAAGACAATGAAGGTAAATTCCAGAGTGGCTAGTCTAGTAGTATTTATAGTTCCTGACTTATGCGACTTGCATGTATGCATCTCTAATCTTTGTGTTCACTATATCTATAGGTGACCAACGAAGGGCATGGGGTGGAAGTAGAACAAGGCTATTGTATTGTGCCTAGTGAGAAGAAATTTGTTCTCCTTTGTTCTTTTCTGATGGTGAATCGTTCAAAGAAAGGGATAGTGTTCTTCTCTTCTTGTAGCGTAGTCAGCTTCTACTCCAACCTTCTTCGATATGACAGTAATGTGGATTGCTTTGATCTTCATGGAAAGCAAACGCAGCAAAAGAAGACAAGTGTTTTTTCGACTTCTGCATAGCAGAGAAAGGGTTCTTACTTAGCACCGGTGAAGCAGCTGTGGGCTGGATTTTCCTGCCATGGTTTATCTCCTATCACTTTTGCAATTTACCTACCAAAATATGGAATTTTTGCTTCTCATAACAAATAAATTGCCGACATTAATTAGCAGTATCTGCTATAAGAGAATGCTCGTGCTAATCTTGTTTCTTTTGCTTTCTTATTTCTTTTACTTGTAGGACTGGATTGTGCAGTTTGATCCTCCGGACGAACCCGGTATCTAATATTCCTTCTTTAATTAATAGTATCAAGTATTCCTTGTTTGTTCTCTGAGTACATGTGTCTCATGGGATATCTGTTTGCAGGTATATGTCCGTAGGCTCTGTCAAGCTGCTCGAGGGGAAGGAAGAAAAGGAAAGGCATTTCTTTTCCTCATTCCTGAGGAGTCGAAATTTATTCACTACTTGATGGTATGATTCCCATATGCTTTTGAGAAGGGCGTTTGAGTGCAAAGCAAGCTTGATCGAATGTTTCGCTTTATTCTCCGTTTCAATTCCGCATTTCATTTTGCTTTCAGGCCGCAGATATCATTGTTCAACCATGGAGATTTGAGGTGAATAAGCTAAAAAATGTGCAGTCTAAACTGGTAATTTCCTGTTTTTGTTCAATTGTTGTCATGTTATTTTACAATAAATGGTTCTCACTTAGTATGAACCTCACATCGGAGAAAAAGAGACATTGCATTGCTTATAATGAGTAGTTGGGCTAATCCGTATATTGCCAATTAATTTTATAGTGAAATCTCAACTTTCTTCTCCTCTAAGGAACCTCCTAATGTATGTTGCTTTGACTGATGCAGGAGAAGATGGTGGCTCGCAACTACACTCTTTGCAAGTCAGCTAAACACAGTACAGAAAGGAGGCGAGGCCAAGGAGGTATAAAACACCCTTACTACGACGAAAGTCGTAAAACGCTTCAGCCAAATTTTCCGACATGCCGGTAAGGCAGGGGACCGTGATCAACAAATTTTGGCCAAAATATATTTGGCATTAATTACCCTGTTTTTTCCTACTACTGTGGCTGTAACTTGTATATTTTTAATGGTTTGTAGTTAAAAGCTCGTAGACGTCGGTTGTGCCACCAATCAAATTGTATTTCCAGATCCGTACGTAATTATGCTTTTACCGGGGTAATCCGAATTTCTTTCAGTGTAATTATTTTTTACCGTGGTATCCGAAGCTTCGTACTCTCATATTTCCCCTATCTAATCCTTTCTGCCGTCGTAAAGAGAAGAAATGGCTGTTTCTGTATGAAATTTCTTTGGGCCGCTTACCAAAGAAATTGAAAAACAGATCGGTTTGGCCCATTTGGGTAAAAGCCCAACAAAAGTGAAAAGGCATACCGTTTCCACGAGTCAGTCACGTGGACAGACTTGCTGCCGTTTCCCCCCTTATTTAATGTCCGCAAGGCGCAGAGCTGTTCATGCTCTCTCTGCTCTTCCTTCACTCTCACAAAGTAACCAAACGAAACAGGTAATAAGAAAGTTTTCCATTCTCTCGTATTTTCTCGAGAAAATGTTGCCATTTTCTATCTCACACTTTTCCATATATATATTCTTTCAATCGTTTTCATCATAATCTTCGTTGCCCAGTACGTAGGTCGATCGTGTAAGAAGAACGAAGCGAAAAATAGTGATCCAAGTGAGAAGGATATGGTTAAAACAATGCCACTTGTCAAGAGATTACAAAGGCTGTTATATCAGTTGGAATCTTGGTTGTCAGAGATATAGTTAGTTGGGATGAGGAGATGGTTAGTTGATATAAGGAGTTAGTTAAAAGGAAGATTACTTGCTCTGTAAGATTTGTATTGAAAACACCTATTTAAGTAATGATTGTAAATCAATACAAATTAATGACGAAAAACCTTTACATCTGCAAATCTCTCTCAATATTTCTCTCTGTTCTGCTTCGATTCTGCAATCTTTACATGGTATCGGATCTCACAAAACAAAAAAATCCATATCTAATGATTCTTCTTCTGCATTGTCGTCTTCTTCTTCTTCTTCTTCTTCTTCTTATCTCTGTCTCTCTCTTTTACAGATAACTGAAAAATGGTGAACGTGGACGAAGCCATGTTGATGATGAGAAGGCGCGTGGTTCGACGAAACTTCGGGCGAGGCGGCGGTCCGTTACCATTCCCCAACTTCTACTGGCTGATGTACCGAGCATGCACTGTGAAGGATGTGCTCCGTATCAGGACTCCTCGGACGGGCTTCTCCGTTCTCCTCAAAGTTCCCGTCGGAGTTCCGAGGCGTATCCAGGCGATGATAAGAGAAGTGGCCGAGAGGAGGGCTTTTCAAGTGATCACCATACCCACCGAGCGTGCCGACTCCACTTACCAGCGTCTCCGAGAGAAAATGAGGAAGCAGACCAGAAAATACCAGGCTACTCCTTGGGGGAGGCGACTACTGTCCCTCCGCCGCTCCTCTGAAATTGCCAGAAACAGAGCATGGGTGGACAACATGTACTCCGTACGACAAGTGATGGACGCGAATGTCGATGAATATGACCAGAGGGATGTTTTTGCCTGTGTCCGATATGCAGAGATCCGAGCTGAAGACATTCCACCGGATGCTGAGAGGAGGGAACTAAAGGTGCGGGGCCCCGACGACCTGTACCGCTTTCGTCGAGGCTACGGGGACGCGCCGCCACCCAAGGTTTTTGTCGTGCCCAGAGACGTTAATAATGGTGTATACATTATGACGGGGTTCGTGGTGGATCGGTTTCTCCATGCCGGGTTGGTTCGTGCGGATCCATAGACTGTAAGTTTCTAATTACTGCTCACTCATATGTCATATTTGTGGTTTTTTATTTTGATTTTCTGGGATCCATGGATGGATCGATCTCTGCATTTATTTTTTGAACCTCCGTAGAACAACTCGCGGGGAAATAATTTGCTGCCCTTGTTTAATATATGATAAACCTTTTTTTTTGGTCGGAATATATGATAAACTACAAGCTCTTAATTAATTACACAGTACTCGTTCTGCATATGAAATTAATTGTGGAAAAAGGATTTTTTTTCGATTTAATTTTATTCTTCTACTAATTAAATTCAATGCATAAATTTCTATTTAATTATGTTGTAGCACTGCTTAATTTGTGTTTTCATTCAGTGACTTTGCCATAATCTTGGTAATTAATACTTGTGTTTGGTTATTTTCATGCTCAAATGAAATCATTTGCCGTGGAAAAGTATAAGATGTTCTTGTGGCTAGTGAATTTAGCACTATATCACTCTTTTTTTGTGTCTCCGTCTGAGATCGATGCATATGTGAAAAAAAAAAAAAAAATACGCACACACACACTCACGCACACACGTAGGAATTATGTGTGAGAAACAAAAAATTTACTAAATAATAATTTGAAGCATTTTTCTCTTTTATACTATGATGAAAAAAAGAAAGGAATAAAATGCTAGGGAGCCTACATTCTGTAAACCACATCTAAACCATTCTCTAATAGAAGTGGCACATACTTGTATTGTGTACCCTACCATTATTAGAGAGTTTAAATGAGGTCTCAACCCTCTATATAATATGGGCATGGTTTCAATGTGGTCTCTAAAGGGGTCTTCATCTTCATTTAGACACAGGAAGTAGCTGTTGAACCCATTTTACATCGAATTTCAAGATCGTAACCGTGACATGTTTTAATTAGTCTTTGCACAACATGGAAATCTCTGAGCTTGTTAAATGTTTTAATTAGTCCATCCATATATTTATTTGAAGGGCCTTTTCCCCATGGTTTTCATTTACAAAATGGTTCATTTTGCAAATTAATTAGATATTACTCTGATTTGTTCAAAGTTACATTCGGAATCCTAAGAGCATTTCCAATGGACTTCCTAAATGAGCTTCACTAACACAGCAGTTGCTTCTTTTTGTTGCAGAATTGTAACGCAGTACTGCTAATAGCTGACATTGAAGAGTGAGAGACTGCTACTAGGGAATGATCGGGAAGCTATATAGCGCTTTTGGCTACCAAGTTTAGACTTTACTGGATATGTGTTTTTAGTACGTAATTGAACTCCTAGGTAATATTGCATGGGTTCCGTTATATTTCGTGCCCAAGAGATTTCTTCCTTATCCTAGTATATGTACTTGAACTACTAGCTGGTAGTTTATGTGATGCGTGCCCTAAAGATTTCTCTAATATTCGGTTGTTCGGTTTATGTTTCGTGCTCTAATTCTTTCATCTTTGTTTCTGCAAATTCAAAGTTTTATTAGAAAAAATTGATCAAAGCCCTTTTGGCTTGCTTTGGAAAAAAACTTCTAGGGATGGTGATGCTATTTGGATATCATTCTTGTCTACCACCTTGCAACCCACCTCGCGAATACAAGTGAAACCCGCATACATAGAGTTTATTTCTATTAGAGAGACGGGTTGTAAGGTGGTAAGACTATGATACAAATAACAATAGTCTTCAAATATTTGTATATATAACATATCTTCATATATCAAAGTATTAATTATGAAAAGAAAAAACCTCTTCAAAAATTATTTTTTTATGAAAAATCATTCAGAGTTTGAGATTGTTTAGTCATCCAAGTATATGAAATAAATTGTAATAAATAAAGTAGGGCTAGTTACTTTCACTCCAAGCAAACCCGAATAATGCACGGACACCACATGCATGCAACCTCCACACCACATTCATTTTTTTTTCCTTCTCATCTCTTTCCCCCTCTCGCCACAAGAACCACAATGCATGGTCGATGGATGCAGAATCAGGAGATACCAAAAAACTTCACCGCGTCGGCCTCAGGATGTCAAGCTCTCTAAGCGCGCGCCTCATCATCCTCCACCATGCATGGCTTCCGCGTCACCACCGAAGGTTCCACCGCCCCAACTGATGGCCTCCTAGTACCACTCCCCAACCCTCCATGATCAACTGATCATAGATCGGCCTCCCTCCAGGCTCCTGCTGAGGTGTCCTACCTAATGAGTCCCCTAGCCAGTCATGGCTTTAAGTAAACAATCTATTCGTCGCATTAGTCAACCCGTTAACAAAGGTTGTATAAATTAAATTTACTACTCAATTTGCATTTCATTAGACTCATTACCTTGGAGTTCAAGGCGTTGGATGATTGAGGCAAATGCAATTAGCATTCATCAAGTCTATCCAAATCCCAATAAGGAAATTGAAAGGTAACACAAAAAATGGTAGTAAGCTACGTACGGGAATTCCAATCCATTGACAATGACATATATAATAGATAATTAATTTTATTTCCGTATTTATAATTTGCAGGTGAATTGGTCACGCACAACAATTCGAGGTCAGATTAAATTAGGAATTATCTGGGTTGCCTAAATTCTTGAGGATCCACTCTGCCATCGCTACACTAATCTAATATATATTAATATTATCTACTTGAAACAAACAGAAACAAGAGCTCCAACATATCGAGCCAACCATCTAGTAATTCTAGAGTAAAGGAAATTTTGAAGCTTTGTCCAGAAAGACTTTTGGTGACTCTATACAAGCTCCCAAGTTTCAATTCGGTTGATCACTTTCTGCCGCAAGAATTGTGCTGCATGACTGGAACGAGGGTACGCATTGACCTTTTTTCATTCGACAAGAACTCTGAAAAAAAAAATTGTAAAGAAGGTAAATGCTGAAAAAGTTGATAATTGTTGCTAAACGTTCAATGTGTTTCAGGTAAAATTCCGTACTACACTATGCCCCCAGTTAGGAATCAAGATCATCCTTCAGAGGCAAACATTGTTTCGCAGCTGGTAAGGCGTTTAACATTGATGAAGTATACAATGCAGAATTTTCATTCATCGGAAGCCTCAAGTCTGTTAGTGATTTCCATCCTGTCGAAGTTCCTCCCAGTTGCCCGCTCAATTTTGATGAAGATATTGAAGAGGTTTGTGATCTGTGCTAACCATATCACTTATGACTCCTTTTCTGTTATTCAGTTTTTCGGTAGTCTGTGCATGCTGTTTACAGATAAGTTCAATAGTCTTCTAGGAAGCCGACTGATTCACATTTGATTTTAAAATTTAGTGGACATTTATCAAATTCCGAATGTAATTTGATTGTACATTACCACGCACCAGGTTGACACGACAGCAGGACCATCAAGTCATGGTGATGGAAGTCCTGATATGGTTGACGGAGACGATGACCAGTCGATGGCATGTGAAGAAGACGATGGTGGCAAACCCAAGGAAAAGCTACTAGAACTATCAGGCAAAATGAGAAATTGTATACAGCTGAAGGTATTCTCAATCCTAAGCTAAAGAAAGCAGAAAGGAAGAAAAAGAAAAAGGCCAAGTCAGCCGCAGCCTCAGTCGACGCTATGGATGCTGACGGTGACTATGACTTTAAAGTGGATTACAAGAACAAGGGATCCGCTATGGATGTTAGTGATGGTCAACTTATAAGAAAGGTTCCGATGTCTGGTACTGGATTTGATGAACCGGAGAAATAGCCGGGACGATCAAATAGAACTGTATCATCAGAGGCGGTCCAAGGTGCACACCAAGTTCAGTCTTGATCTAGCCAGTTTTTTTGTTCTTTTTAAGAGAAATATGTATGAATGCTAATGGTTTTCAGATTTTTGTACGGACAGGATTTATATCTGCCTAACAATACAAAAGCTTGATTATTTATCTGCGTATTTGACCTGGATTCGTCTTTCACGCTATACAAACAACAACAAAATCGTATCTCACTAAAGATCGTGACTTTCACTGTCACCCTCACTGAACCGAGTTGAATCTGAACTGCCATTCAGATCAAGTCTTACCATAATTGAATTACAGTTTCCCAATGGAGGACGTATAAGTAGCTAGCATCAGCATTTGTATATGCAATCCAAGTTTATGCCATTTTTCTATGGACTACAACAACTTATTATCGAGGTTATAACGAGTGATCTACACCAGATTAAGAACCAACTGTATTGGCTGGAAGGTGTAAGATATGCTAATACATGAAGATGGATCTCAATCATCAATTGGCACTCCTAGACCCGTGTCCTCGTCACCCGGATCTTGTTTGTCCTTAGTTGTTGAGGGAGCTGGTTCAGACTATGAGGATTGATTCACAGAAGTGACCAGAGTCGTGGCGTTTGTCGAAGATACTGCTGTAACGCCGTTGGTGGTTGTGACTGGTGTTATGGATTCTGTAGTTGATGTCACGATTCCTTGTGCCTCCACGGCCTCGTGTGCTGCTTTCTCTTTGGCCTTTTTGGCTCTTCCCAGTACATCTTCCTGTGTATAATTGATAAATTAGCACTTCGACTAATATCCATTATCATCAATGCAGACTATGCAGTTGTTTTGATTCAATCCCTCACATCACTGGCAATATACAGTTTAAACCAAATCGAGAACCAGTAAGAGAACTTTGTACCGATGATCCCACGCTATTCACTATAATATGGTGTTGATCTGCCTTAAACTGAAGTGATTTAGAAATTATCTAAAACAGATTTCACTTTTAGCTTCAATCCATGAATTCTGGAAATGTTTTTTCGCTTACGGAAATGTTGACAGCAAATTTGTAAAGCAGAAAGTTAACAAAGAGGAAGAATTCATCAATGAACTGAACCCTAATAACTTGCTAACAACTTGAACTGCTCACCTGAAACTCCTCTACCAGCTTCTGCTGCTCAGCCTGCAGCCTACCAATCGTGCTCAAAAACTCGCCTACACCTGACTCAATGCGGCCGTTTATAGCTTCAGCTAGAGCTTTCCCCAAGAAAAAGGCGTCCAGAACGTTCCGGTCCACCCGGACCATGCGTGATCCATATAAACAAGTGCAGTCTACGCTAAATTTGTGCATCTTGTCCCACACATCTTGCTATCAAAACTTAAGATCTTGAACTTCATGGTGATTTCATTTGACAACACTACAAGCTCAAGCTCATCTGTTTGTAGCATTTTTTGTGTTACAGTATTTGTTATGAGGGTTTTGATACGGTCAGTCGTACTTTCACACTTTTTGATTCAAAAGATGTGTAAATCAATAGTTTCTAAGTGCGCGAATAGAGATTGAAAGTTAGGTTTTGCCAATTTGGTTGTAACATAGCATAATTTGTCACCTTGACCGTTGTTCTGTATCACACGGACAAATCCACTTAGAAAACTTATTCCTTGTAGAATTCTCATTGTGTTTTGGAGAAGTGTAGGCATATAATCAACTGATATCATTTGACATTCTACTCAATAACGTGATAAGATAAGTGATTCTATTACTCTATGGACAATCCAATTTCTCTTGCCACCTATATTTCACTTTTCAGTTTCTTTCGACACTCTAATATCTTTGGAAATAAACCAAACCTAACTTTTGAAAAACTATGATTTCCTTTTGCAGGCTATACGTTTTTTGAATACAACGTTATATTTACACCAAGATGTAAGGAATTTAGAGAAAATCATATGTTGATTCTAAATGACTTACTAACAAATCCAATTGTCTGAAGGGGAGTTAAACAGAGAGGCAGAATTTTGATTACTTGAGGTTACATATAATTTTAGTAGCATAGCTGAACCAAACCAATCTATTCATCTTCAATCATTTTTCTTATGAGCAGGTAACAAATATTATAATATGTTAAGGGAACTGTTACTAGTATTCCAAAAATCTTATTCTACACTCCTTACAAGTGTATTTTTCTTTCTAATTATAGAAAATGTGGAGTGCCAAATGAGAATTTTGGAGTGCTAATGACAATTCTCTATGTTAATAAGAGCATGATGGAATTTGTTATGAGACGATTGATTATCAAATTTGACTGTCTCATCATTTGCTTGCATTTAATGCTCGGTTGTATGAAAGAAAAATTACAATTCAACACGTTTTTAAACCTCTCCCATCGTTTTTCTTATACACGGTTATTTTCGTTTAATTTATTTATTCTGATGACGAGAATTAAAGAATAAGATTTTAAAAAATGGAATTTTAACAAAACACTTCCGGTACTGTTTACTTTTAAAGAAAAAACACACATTTTTACATTTTCCTAATACTATTCACTACACCTTTATTTATTTATTTTTTATTAAAACTAAAGTTTTTTTTGAACTTTTAGTTTTCCTTTTTAAAAATCACCTCTCTAATTTAATTTAGTTGGCTTGGCCCTCACTCAATCATAGTCAAAACCCAAGACTTCCCCGTGGACGGTAGTCAAAACCCTAAACGGCTAAACCTCC